TGGAGATGAACATTCTTACGCTACGTCACACTACATTTATGAAAATGTAATTTACAATAAGAAGAATAGTATTTTTTTTAATGAAAAATAGTGACAGACAACATTAACACGAAGAATAATTATAAAAAAGCGACCTCAAAGTTCGTGGAACTACATCTGTCTGCAAAGTTTTATTGAAATCCCCGAGTTTATCACCCTAAGGCAGTGGTCCGACCGGCGACGATGAACGAGAAACGAGTAACGAGTAGAACTATAAACTATCAGCGGGAAGCGAGTGTAGTTTCGATAGTTTTGTCGCCGGGCTATAAGCGAGTGTGTAAGTGCGACGAGCGATTACTCGTGCCACTCGCTCAGTCCTGTGCAAACCTGCGTACGTTTCAATGCCGCACTGTGAAATGATGAAGCGGGCGAGTATCGCTGAACGAGTATTGCTTAGTGAGTTTATTTTTGAAAGCTCGTCGCTTAGCGATAAAACTAGTAAAGCGAGTCGTCGCCGGCAGTGTGAACAGTCAGCGATCAACTATTTGTATATGCATCTCTTTTATTTACACGGAATGTTATATCTATTGTACGTTTCTTGAGCGAGAAAATAGTAGATAGTTAATCGTTTACTCGCCGTTGGTGGGACCACTGCCTTAGAGGTAGTACCCTCTTTCCAATAAAAAAAGAATCACCAAAATCGGTGTACACATGCCGTGTCTGTATGCCGAATAATCGCGTAACATTCAACAAACTGCCTCAGTGGCCGAACGGTTACCATGCCGGACTGCCACGCAGAGGTCCTAGGTTCGATTCCCGGGCCGGGAGAAATATTTGTATGGCCTACATTTATTTCTCTCGTGAGTTTGGGTGTAATTTGTGTTTGTCTATGTATGTGTCCATGGCACCCGCGACATAGGGTTTCCCTAGTGAGGGGCTATGTTGAGTGTGTGCGTTATTATTATTAAAAAAAAAAAAAATTCTACAAAAAACATACAGTCAAATTGAGAAACTCCTTTTTTGAGATCGGTTAAAAATAAACAGTCGTCTTCACAAAGTCACAAATTCATTAAGAGGCACTGTATTAATATGCTCCTATAAATAAGATTCCGATTGATATTCAAAATTTGCCATTTACGAGGTTTAAAATTGCAGTGAAAAAAAAATTTATACCTAATAAAGGTTGTTCTTATGAAGCTTCTGCGTGTTTGGATGACAAAACTCTTTGGTACTGATCCGTTAAGCACCTGCGGTATTCTCAATCTAAGATGTTTGAAATAATTATTGTAAATTATAAATGGAATATTCGAATGTTTATTTACAAAGGGCAACTCCTAGGGTCGTATTCCAGAACTCTACTCAATGCTCAAGTCAGGACTTGAGCAGACTTGAGTATGATTTCAAGCACTGAAATACGACCCTAATGGCAAGGACTTGAGTATGATTTTCAGTGCTTTAAATCATACTCAAGTCCTGACTTGAGTATTGAGTAGAGTTCTGGAATACGACCCCTAGAGTTTCTTGCTCATTCTTCTGAGGGGAATATACCTTAATAACTGGCTCCGTGTCCGAACGGTTGCCATGCTGGTCTGCCACGTAGAGGTACCGAGTTCGACAAATATTATATGAGTGTAAAAAAGACAATATGACGTTTTGTAGCAATAGAGCTCCCTGTGCAGGGTAGTACTGCTACCTTACCTATTTTTGCCTCCAAGCAGTAATGTCAGCATTACTGTGTTCCATTTTGGGAAGGTAAGGGTGCTGGTGAAATTACAGGCACAAGGGACTTGCCAACCGGGACCAACATTGTACCAACCATCAGGCGCACGACTTGCATCCCGCTAAATGATGTTATTTAAAAAAATATATAGAAATCTAGTATATTTATTTATTTTCGAGTTACAAAACACAAATACATACATACCTTGTAGACTGACATACATAATTACACGTATTACGTGCAACGTGTGACGCAACGTGGTTGTCCGGTTGTCGGCCTCGGAAACGTCGGTCAAAACTCCTTCATGAAGGTCGACAGATGTTGAGTCGGTATTCTCAGCATAAATAAATTAAAATCTGCCTTAAACAATGAGCAGAGTTTAATCAATGCGACGATTTGCAGTGCAATATGTTTACCCGTGAAATAAAGATTATATTTGAATTGTAATTTCACCAGCGCTGTCATAATCGAAAAGCAGTAATGATTAAGTAGGTAACCTGTATTGCTATTAACATAGGGTCCCAAACTTTTTAGCTCGCCGCCCACAAAAAATAATTGAAAACACGTATTTTTTATATAAAGCTAACACAAAGAAATCACAAGTAAAAAAAATACATGTACACGTCACACGGATATGCTACAAGGAGGGAAAGTACCTTGAATACCATAGATTTCTATCTAGAACAAATGTTAAATTTCGTGGTCTTCCTTTTACAACCCTTATGCACAATCCTTATGATTGAGGCTTTTGATCAGTATAGTAAAATTACAGGTTATTTTTTTCATTTGGCGGGTTTGATTCCCGGTTTAGACAGGCGATTATTTAAAAATCTTTGAATGCAGTTCGAATAGTTTTTAAAATCAAGTGAGACGCCCTGTATATGTAGCATACTTTGTACAGGGTCTCCCAAAAATACGTCAGAGCGACACTGTGAGTAGGCCAACTCTATACCTACCAGAAATAAATAATTTAACGTAGGTAAAAGTATTGTGGTTTTCGAGGTATTGGCACTTTTTTTTTTGGGAAACTACTTTTTGTTGGGTTTTATGCTATTATTTCCAGGGTTAGCTCCAGACGGTAGTTATTTTAATTTTCCGGGTAATCTGAATAGTTTTTCCAAGTACTGCAACTAATATTTTATCGAGAAATATCATAAAACTTGAAAAAAACTATTAATTATGTATATCTCATACCCTTTTCAAACTTTTTGGTTGAGACCACTTTGGGAAACAATGCTATAAGAGCTCGTGGCAAGCCCCCTGGGAGTTTTAAACTTCTCCAACAAACATATTTCCTAATTAATCTTAATATATAACATCTATATATCAAATTCAAGACTTTGTAATCGAATTGAGGAAAAAACGCTACATTTTAATTAAAATTCAAATCGCTAAACACTTTTTGCGGTTAAGTTATCAAAACTTGTTTTTGAAGTAAGTCGGTCTTTATTTCTAACTAGAGATCATAGGTACCACCTTACCTATTTCTGCCTCTAAGTAGTCATGTGAGCATTATTGCGCTTCGGTTTTGTAGGGTAAGGGTGTCGGTGAAATGACAGGCACATAGGACTTGTAAACTTATGTCTCAGTGAGACAGGAGCAGAGGCAATACCCCTCAGATCTTTGCGATGTATAGTTCTGAGCGGTACTGCAACTGTTAATACCAGTGGACGGGACAGACTAGTCGTATGCCTGGTGGTAATCGACGTGCGTCACGCCTATCCATAACAGTTGTGACGCACGTCGATTACCACCAGGCATACCACTTGTCTGTTCCGTCCACTGGTATTATAAAAAAAATATATTTTTCTAACTAATTTATTTTACATTGTTAAGCTGCGATTTGTCGAAACTACTCTAATTCTTAGTGATAACAAACAAATCAACTAGATGGCGCTTATTTCACAGATTTTATGGATAGCGCCGCCTATCCTTTTATTTTGTTTAGGAGTATCGCCATCTACCCTTAGAATAATAACGCATAGAAACCTAGTCCGCATACGCTAAGTGAGGCAAATTGAAGCGCGCCAAAAGGGCCTACACGAGCGGGCGGGCCTTCAGTGCTCAAGGTCAACTTGCACCACGAACAGATCAAGAATTTTAGCTAAAAATGACGAAATGTGCGGTAAATGAGTGTAAAAATACGTCACACCAACATAAAATAGATACTAACATCACATTCCACAAGGAAGTAACGCGTTTCAACTTGTATTTTTATATAAATGTTCACTAAAACCGAAAATTAACCTACTACTAAAACTAGCCTACATGAAATTGATTTTTGTCTCACTTGTGACAGTTCGTTTGATATGAAACTATCATTCTATGCGTTATTATTCTAAGCATCTACCTATATTTACAAAAATTAGCTTATAACACTCAACGCCGTCTATTGACACGCATTTGTCAAAGACTGTAACTGACTTCTTGTATTTCATATTAAACAGGAATTAATTGGTATCTATGGCCATTTACATGATATAAACTACTTCCAGGCTAGTGATCAGCGCCATCTTATATAAGACGGAATTTTGACCTTTCTCAGAGTAGGAGATTAGCAGGCTTCTTGCGTTATGAGCCCCCTTTACACAGTCACTCTGTCGCGCGTGATCAGGAGCGTACAGGATTGCGCGCGGGAAAGCCTGCACGCGCAATAGTGCACGATTACCTGTTTTAATTTTTTAAGCTTATTTATTCGATACGAATTGCATCGCGCTTACCCCGCGCGGTCGCCGAGCGGAGCCCGCGTTGCCTCCGCGCAGCGACCGCGTGCGTTTAACTGTCATGGCAAAATACGCTCTATATACTTAGATTTTACGTTTTAACTTAAATGAGCGTCCCGGTCAAGCGGGCGAGACTGGCTTGAAATTCATCCGCGTGGTTGTTATATTCAGAGAATTTTGAGTGTTGTTGCCTAGTAAATACAATTCAGATTCGCCATTAATTTACATGAATACGTGGTAACTGGGCGGTCACCGCGCGGCAGCCGCGCGAAAACATTCTCCCCGTGCAACTGGGCGCGATTGGCAAATCGCGATTTGGCAAAAGTTTATTCAATATACGACGAAAATACTGTGTTGAACATTTACATTTTTCCAATGTATGTACAACCTGTAGGTACAATAAAAATAATAACGTTACAACGCTACGTTTTGAGCGAAGTGTAGGCAGTACGCCGAACAGCCGAGAGTTGGCGTTCTTTTTCTTATTATACTATGACAATGGTTTGTGACTGACGTCACCTTAATGAGATACAAACTACATATTAATGATAATATAGCCTTTAACAACCTAGTTGCAATGAAGATGCCGTCAGATTTGAACGTGTAATAATTTTGTTATATTTTTTCTACCTGGTTAATTTTATTATTGTTATTTTTTGTTTGTCTGTTTTAAAACACTTTGTGATATTAGAAAACTTGTGATTTTTGTGACAATTTTTGTAAGTGTCGTTGAAGGTAAGTTTGAAATTGTTTGTAAGAAGAAAAATTATAGAGTATGAAACCATTTTTTCGGATTTAAATCGCGTCTATTAACTACAGGCAGCTACTAAACATCCATAAATATAATGTAAATTGGAAATTAGAGTTTTTTGTAATATGAAGCAATAGCGTTCCGGTTTTGAAGGGTAAGGGGTGCTGTTGAAATTACAGCCACACGGGATTCGTCAACATATTTATTTTATTTATTATTCATTTAATTCAGGCAATATATACTTAAGGGCTTGCATACGTACAATATAATATAAAAATATAATAAAGCACCGTTTATTTATTTACGCGTATGGATTACGATGTGTGACGCAACTTGGGTATCCGGTAATTGGCCTCGGAAACGTCGATACATGTCTTATGTGACTCAGTTCCTGGGGCACTGCCACTACGCCCGTCTCTTTGAGACATTCATATGGCGCACTATAAGTTTCCGGAACTGGCCACTTACATAAACAATATTTAAAAAGTAATTACAACATATGAAAATGGAACTCCTTGGCTGTAGAATACAGTTTGTTTCATCTGACTGTAACTTGTTTTTATATAGTGGCGTCTTTTTAGAAATTGGTTGTCTACATCACCATGGATTTAACCATGATTTAACTCGTGAAAATTTTTGTAGTATGATTTTCTACGACCTTAAGTGTAATTTAACAGCTCAGAAGAGCTTAGCTCGGCTTCAAACTGCTTTTGGCGATGAAGCACCATGCAAAACGACTTTTTATAGCTGGTTTGCAGAATTCAAACGCGGTCGTGTGTATACCAGTGACGAATTTCGTGATGGTCGCCCGTCCACTGCTGTGAACAACAAAAACATCGATGCTGTGCGCCGTGATCATACGGCCAGGCATGTGACATACCATGAGATTCGGGCATCTTTAGGCATAGACATGAGTCAAATACAATCAATACTACACCAACATTTGGGTGTGAAAAAGCTGTGGTCTAGGTGGATACCACACAATTTGACTGAGATTCAAAAAACGGATCGCGTCACTTGGTGCAATGCCATGCTTACCAGATTCAACGAAGGGCCGTCAAACTTGGTGCGGGACATAGTAACAGATGACGAAACATGGATTTGTAGTTACGATCTCAAAACAAAGCAGCAATCGAGCGTTTGGGTCTTTCGAGATGAACCTAAACCAACCAAAGTGGCGAGCGTGCAAAGTGCCTCTAAGCGGATGTTTGCTTCTTTTTTTAATAAAACTCGACACGTGGTTGCTTTTGCTTTGGAGAATCTTTGTACCGTGAATAGCGATTGGTACACGACCATTTGTTTGCCGGAAGTTATTGAAAAACTCCGTAAAAATAACCGTAAACGCCGTATCATCTTGCACCACGATAACGCCAGTTCTTACACGGCCAGACAGACAAACGAATTTTTGAAGGTGAACAACGTTGACCTTTTGAGCCATCTCGCGTGCAGTCCCGGCCTGGCACCTTGTGACTTTTATTTATTTCCAAAGATTAAGAACCACTTAGGCGGTCAACGATTTTCATCACCTGAAGAGGCTGTCGCAGAGCATGAAAATTATGTTTCGGAGATTGCCACGGAGGAGTGGCATGAATGTTTTCAAAATTGGTTCATTCGTATGAAAAAGCGCATTAATGCTAACGAAGAATATTTTGAGATACGATAAATTTATTTCTGACCATTTATAGTATTTTTTTCTTATTCATTCCGGAAACTTATAGTGCGCCACACGTATAAATTACAAGTACCATATGCCTATAGTTTCACCAGTACCCTTACCCTTCAAAACTGGACAGAAATAGGTGAAGTGGTATTATTTTCCTGGACAAACTCTTTCAAAAGGAGCTTTACTGCAACCATACATATATTCTAAATCTCCATAAACTGCCTCCGTGGCCGAACGGTTACCATTGACCTTACATTACCTGGGTTCGACTCCCAGGCCGGGAGAAATATGTTTATGGCCTACATTTACTTCTCTCGTGTGTTTGGCAGTAATTTGTGGTTGTGTGCGTTATTATTATTATTCCTTTATTGGATGCTGTAAGTAGACAAAGCGCAACTTCGAGAAATAATTACGATTTACTATTTTCAGTGCGATGCGTGCTCTCGTACTGTGCACCCTGGTTGGTGTGGTGGCAGCACAGATAACAGTGGACCCTGCTACGTTGGACAACATTTTCGGCCCTGCCCCCACAACCACAACTGCGCTTCCTTTGGAAAAAGTAAGTAAACAATATATATTTTCACCTCATTAGCTTAGAAAAGCTTGCTTTCTCATTCGAAAACTGCGCGCAGAACCTTTTTTTCCTCTCTAGCGCGGAAAAGGTTTTTGGAATTCGAACTTGACGATGGACTGTGGTGCACCTAAACCCAAATTTTATTCTTATAATTGTTGACATTGAATTGACAACGATATTTTAAGTATTGATGTTTCACTAAACACGATAAATTAAAATAATAATAATAACGCACACACTCAACATAGCCCCGCACTAGGGAAACCCTGTGTCGCGGGTGCCAAGAACACACACATAGACATATTACACCCAAACTCACGAGAGAAATAAATGTAGGCCGTACAAATATTTCTCCCGGCCCGGGAATCGAACCTGGGACCACTGTGTGGCAGTCCGGCATGGTAACCGTTCGGCTACAGAGGCAGTTAATTTTGTTTGTTACAATTCAACTGTCTTTCTTTCATCTACCATTTTCCTCGCTGCAGTGAAGTGAAAAGTTATATGTTTCGCTCGCTACGCTCAGGGTTCTAGTGTTGAACCACGAGCGAATCGAGTCTTGGAAACAATCTTAGGACCTTTGGCTTGTTCAGGTTTCAATACAAGCACTCGCCTCAAACAACGACTTTGCAGCCTTACAAATAACTATTGTTGTGCAATACGGTTAATTTTGCTTCGGTCGAGCGGCAGGGACTGCCTTTATTTCAGAATTTATTTTCTTACAGATGAATTTAAAGTCTTTTAAAAATGTATATCGTATAGTGTACGTGTACTATTTAGTTCAATTAATATAAAAAAAATTGGCATATGTAAAGATCCTATTGAATACCGCGGTATTTTTATAAAATTTCGAGGTAACTTTGTGTTTTTTTTTCAATTGTGAAAATTTGTAGGAATCGTGTTGTCACACCGTATAGTGAATCAGTGCACATACTCAATTTCATATTTTTTTTTTCAACATTCACTATTACGCAGAATCAACAAAAGCCATTTGAGGTTGTATAGACTCTTAATTGCTTTAAACATTATTATCTCGGATTTGAGTTTTTGTCACAACCGCCCATTTTCAAGTAACGAACGGAGACAGTAGTATACTATTATAATTATTCGTGCCAATAGCAAATGCGTTGTAGGAGGGCAGAATTGGTATTATATCAACGACTTAAGGATGGAGTGTACCGGACTATACATATAGTCAGTGACTAATGAAAAAAACTGTAGCTCATTATACTATTGTTTTGTTGTTTCTTTTAATTCAAACCTTTTGTTTTTTTATAGGTTACAATAAAACCAACTGACACGCCAACGGAATTTGTAGACGTAGACGGTGACGCCTGCAAATGTCTTCCTTATTACCTATGCGATAAAGACAACATTGGTGTCGACGCCAACAATGTTTCCGTAACGGGTTGGGGGACTTTGGATATCAGGTTAGTTTGACCACTCATGTTACGCTTTTGAAGCCTAAGAATAATAATGTACGCAGCAAAATTTCCGAAAGAACACGCGTGGTACATGGTGGTGGTACTTTGCTTTTATTATGATCAAGACGATTGCACGAGTCTGCTTAAAAATTATATCACACTCGATGTTAGAAAACACCCTCCGTAGTATAGCGCCTCTATAAAGATATTATATCCACATTTAGGTGTCAAATTCGAGTGATTTTAAAATTTTATCACAACAGCAAACATGGCCAGTCATCGCGAGCGCCGGCGACCAATGACTACAAAAGATTAACACAGTGCCAAACATGGCTGCAAGGTCACAGCTGATTTTAAAACATTTGCACAGTAATTTTATCAACATAAAAATTGAGCGCGACAACAGAGATGAAAAGACATTTTTTGTTTCGTGGTTTTCGCGGCGATGATTATAGGATAAAGATAGCAATTTTAGATCGTTCTACTTGTTCTTCAAAATGTATAACAGTAGTTCAATACCAAATAAGCAAACTTAGATTTATCAACTGAGTTAATGATTGTCGCAAGGAGGTTTTCACACATATTCTGCCATGCTACGGCCACAGGTTTTGATAGATGGCTCCCGCTTAGTGTTGTTAAAATACCGTTTTTTTCCGAGGTAAAAAAAACAATGAAAAAAAACTTGACAAGAAACCGTTTTTTTTCTGGAGTACGTTTTGTTTCTAAAAGTATGAAAATATAACAATTGTATTTTTTTTACTACCATACATTTTACCTACTTTTAATCTATCGATTGCTGTTGCATCGCTACTTTGACGATTACTGATAAAAACACTACTTATTTATTTATCTAAGAGCGATATCAATTATTTTTTCCACATCGCAAATATCCCTTATATAGCAACATTGACATAGAATTTCTGTTCACCTCCTCCGCGTAAACTCCGATTCGGGAACATTTCGATAGCTTGCTTCACACTATCACTACTTATTGCGTACAGTCGCACCATCTCAGTAAATTCGACGTTAGAATAAATATCCATTTTGCGGCGATTGGGCGAGCGGAAGTTCAAATAAATTTTAGAAAAATTTACGTATCTTCGTAAGATCAAGGTCGCGCGTGCATTGAGCAATTTCGCGTATGCGCCCGCGTCTGTGTTTTGTTTTTCGCCGTCGTACCGCCACCCGCCGCTGCGTCGGAGCAATAATAGTGATGTGTATAGATTTCGATAACTAATGTTGTTCTCAAGTAGTAGTTTAAAAATTAAAAAAATATTTTTTATAAAGTCTAAGTTCATTAGTTTATTATTTCATTGGGTTCAGAATCAGGAATATAACGCACTCTATAAGTATGTCTCGCTTTCAAATATACAGCCTCTATATATTCTTAAAACAAAAGTTAGTGTCTTATTTTATTTCAATTATTCCATTTTACTTTTTCTGAAAAAAAAAACCAAATTTAGAAAAAACCAGGGCGCTGTGTTTATTTTCATGTTTTTTTATTTAAAAAACCTGAAAAAAAAACATTTGTTTTGATACTACACTACTCCCGCTAGTGGCGCCATATAGGCGGAAACCGTTTACTAAGCGATTAACATATTCATTGTTAACATACAGAAATTAGCAGGGTGACGCCATCTATCAGAACCCAATTTAAACTAACAAGTGCATTCACATTAAATCTTAATCATACTTTTATTAATAAATTTATTTACCAGTAGAATAACATTATACGTATATGCTTAAGAAAATATTATTGAGGCTATACAATAGAATTATAGAACTATAATAAACCAATAATTATATCTTTTTTATTAAAAAAACCGATCTCGAAAGTTCGTGGAATGACATCTATTTGCCATATTTTATAAACATTACTTTATTTTTATTCAAAAACTAAATACAATTAAATTCATTTAAAAACGAAATTGTGTACATAATTATGTTAATCCGCAACGTAGGCATCGTCAGGGAGACACAAATATAAATCAGCAACAGGCTTCGTCGCATAAAAATTAATACTGCAATTCGCCAAACTTAGCCATTATTATCCAAACGAGTATAGAAAATGGACAACTCTGAATCTGGTTCAAACGTCCCCATAACCCTGGCATCATTACCGCGCTGAATGGCTAACGACATTCGTTGCACCAAGTAAGATCCAGAGCGTGGATCACAGCCTCTATCGTTAAGCCGACGACCCAACTCCCTGATGAATTCTTTGGCCTCCGCACCCCAAGTTCCCGCAGTCTCCACTGCAATTGGCACAAAATCGTACATCGGTTCCAAGGCAATGCACTTGGCATGTTTCAATTTTGCCGGACCCTCTGCAGCTGATCCGGCAGATCTGGTGGTGTGACTCAGGTGGGACGGTGCAAACGTACTGACACACGTAGCCTTCCACAAAAGGCACCAGCCCTTCTGCCATGGGATCAGTGTAAGGCCGTCAGGTCTCTTGCCATCTGTACGACACAGCCCCGGAGGTTCCAAGACGCAAGCTACGTTAGCCAATACCAAAGCTCGGCAAACTATATTATTTATTGCATGACGTCATGCAATAAATTGTAATAGTTTCAAATCACTTACTTGTGATTTGAAACTTCTATTGAATAAATTTAATCACAGGCTTGACTTCAAGAGTTGATTTATAGCTTTATTGAATTTCGAGGAAAAGTATTAATATTCTTACACTAGCATTACAGTACATTTATGAAAATGTAATTTATGTTAAGAAAAATAGTAATTTTTAAAGAAGAATAGTGAGACAATCGTCTCACGCAATGAAATGATTCCTTCATGAACCTGAGTCGTTTAGCACAAAAAAATGGATCAATTTTATTTATTTTTAGGTGAGTTATCCACTCACGCTTGAACAAAAAATTTGCTATGCCAAAATTGTTTTCACAAAAAAGACCTAATGGTTCCTAAGACAGTTTCCTTGTATCTTCTTGTTTCGGATTTCCCCATACTGTCCTATTAAAAAAAACACCGTATATTTATATAGTAGGCGCAACCAATAAATAATATCGTTTATTTAATAAATAATATCGTTTATTTACATAATAGATCAATAATTATATCATAGGATCAAATAATATTATCCATTATTACGTAGTAGACTTTTGAGGATTTTGTCCTTTCCAGATTCAGAGAAGATCAATGCCAAGAAAGTGCCGAGGTGTGCTGCAAGATTCCTAATGCGAAAACGGAGGAAGAGGTCGTGACGCCGGCTCCATTGCCTATAGACCGGGGATGCGGATATAGGAACCCGAAGGGATTGGATTTTACGATCACGGGTGGCACTGTAAGTAAAGCTTTTGTAGATTATTTTTAACCGATTTAAAAAAAAAGGACTCCTCCTTCTCAATTCGACTGTACTTTTGTATGTATGTACCAGTGGCGAGGCGTCCATATAACTCGACTCCCACCGGTTTGCCTAAAATTTTCCACGTATTGCCAAAAGACTGTACTAGAAAGCGTGCATACCCCACCACTTAAAAAAACTTATATTCAATGATAATCGTGTAGTAATTTGTCTTTAATAGTACGGAGTACTGTAGCTTCCTGATGAATCTAACCCAATCATGGTGCGAGGCAAATCTGCCTTAAGTGTCGCCAATTAAATTTGAAGGACATATTCCACCTGTAAGGGTGGAAAACTAGAGAATGAATCCGGTTTCGGTCCCTTTTCGGTAAATAATTTCAATAAAACTTGGCAAATAGATGTAAGAAATGAAACTATTTTTCCGGATTTACTCCGGATTACTCCGGATTTTGTTGACTGTCAACCGTGACCATGGGACCTGTAAAGGGCCCGAAACGTCGGATTGTTTTTGAAAAAACAAATATACGCGATTTAAATCCGGAAAAATAGTTTCATTTCCTATGTGTAACAATCGCGAAAACCTAAGAACTCGATAAATAGATGTAATTTCACAAACTTTTACGATATCAAAATTCCTACGCGCCCTGAGGGACCGGAAGATGTCTAGCTCATCCTCTACTAGCTGTCGGGGCTAGTGCCGGAGATGCCAAGTAGCAGTGTCCTGTGACAATGTCCAGACAGATACAGGTTAACAGTCTCTCTCTTTAACTGCCTCCGTGGCTGAACGGTTACCATGCAGAGGTCCTGGGTTCGATTCCCAGGCCGGGAGAAATATGTGTAAGGCCTACATTTATTTCTCTCGTGAGTTTGGGTGTAATTTGTGGTTGTCTATGTGTGGGTCCATGGCGCCCGCGACACAGGGTTTCCCTAGTGCGGGGCTATATTGAGTGTGTGCGTAATTATTATTATTATTATTAACAGTTAAGTCAAGGAATTATATCAAGGAATACCAAGTTATAGCTATAGCGTTCGGGGAATAAGTTCGAAAGAGACTAAGTTTTGTGGAGAATAGACACGCGCCTGCGTTTTGGTAGCATTTTAAATTTGACAACATCGCCCTAATCGGAGACTGCCTTAAATATGAAATTCAAATAACGACGACGTCTTCACATGCTAGACTGAAAACACGGATAAGAAAGATACTCGACCGTCTGGAAGGTGTTTATTCACTCTTACCTATTTTTTTGCAGGGTAACGAGGCACAATTTGGCGAGTTTCCATGGGTGGTGGCAATCATGAACGCATTTAACGATAGCTACGCCGGAGTTGGCGTGCTTTTGCATCCCAGGGTCGTCATGACTGGCGCGCATATTGCACACAAGTGAGTGAATGTATTTGTTGACATAAATGTGTACTGTGGCGTAAGTGCTTATTATGGGTGTAGATGCATAAATATAGGTACACTATGGCTTAATTGTGTATTGTGACGTACCTACGTGTGTATTACGGCGTGATTGTTTTACTGTGGAATTCAAATAATCTTTATTTCATAGGTAAGTAAATGACACCCGGAGCCGTCATACTGATTAACATCTACCGCTCATTCGTAAGGCAGATTCCCCTGAGAAGAATGAGCAAGAAACTCTAGGGGTTGCTCTTTGTCAATATAGATTTGAATACATTGATCATTTCAATATTTAATTTAAACATCTTAGATCGAGATTACCTGCAAGAGCTAAACAGGTTACTACTATGGATTTTCGTCATCCAAGCACGCAGAACCCTTGTAATATAAACCCTTTATGTAATATAATACCTTTAGTACAAAGTTTTAGTTTCACTATGCTTTTGAATCTCGTAAATGGCAAACTTTGAAAATCAATCGGAATCTTATTATGGAAGAGTAGGTATACATTTAGGAAATGAAACTATTTTTCCGGATTTAAATCGCGTATATTTGTTTTTTCAAACAAACCGACGTTTCGGGCCCTTTACAGGTCCCATGGTCACGGTTGACTGAGGTGGTACAGTCTTCAACCAGTTATGTCTAATATTAATGCAAACCACCCTATTTTTTCACTATAGTTACAATAGTTATTAATTAAATACCTTGTTTTTAATTTTACAAAGAAAACATTCCAATTTACGCTACATTAAGTTTTACAAATTATTTTATTGAATGAATTTCTTATTAAGTTTAATTTGTTATTAATTATTAATAGAAATTAGAATAAACTAAAACATATTAATTAGTACTGCAGTCTTATGTCTGTTTGGGATTTTTCATTAGAGGAAATACTGGATCCCAAACTGGTGGTACGGAGAAACCATCTTCCCTGTTGAAATTAGGATGTTTTTTAATTTCAATGGCCTCTGGCAGCATCCTGGGTAGATAACGGACTTCTTTTGCAAGGACCTGGGGTTGAAAAAACAAATATACGCGATTTAAATCCGGAAAAATAGTTTCATTTCCTATGTGTAACAATCGCGAAAACTTGTGATAGGTATACATTGCTCATTAAATGAATTAGAAACTTTGTGAAGAAGACAAATGTCAAGAACAGCTAGTTTTTTTTAAAATTGCTCGAAACTGGATTCATCCCCTAGTTTGCCATCTTTAGAGATGGAATGTTTTCTTCAAATTTAAATGGGATTAATACTGAGGTACCCTCTTTCCAGCAAAAAAAAAGAAACAACAAAGTCGGTTGACGGAGCTATCGCGTAGCGTACGTACAAAACAATACAGTCGAATTGGGAATCCCCTCGTTTTTTTGAAGTCGGTTAAAAATAAACAATAGATTTGACAAATTCCTAATCTTCGATTTGATTTTAGAGGGATATATCCACTTTAAAGTTAAAAATAAAATATTGTATGAGTAATTACACGATATATTCAAGCATAGACACTAATCAGAAACATAAAACAATGAAGTTTCCTCGATAGATAAAAATCACGAAATGACCTCTAATTTTCACATTTTTTCGATTCATCCTCGAAATGCTACAGGTTATTACGAAAAAAATTAGATAATTAATTATATTTATGCATGATCGAGAACTGTCACTACGGATTTTTTTTTAATCCCTTAAGTTTTAGAGTTATTCCGCTAAAACGAATTTGGTACTTTTAATGCGCAAAATTCAACATCTCCTGTCGCATGTCACGCGAACTTCAGGCATATATTTGTCTCACAAATGTGGGCGTAGCCAACGTCAAAACCTTTTTGGCATGCTCCCTCTTAAACTATGGAATTCATTTACTTTTTTCCATCCTCTAACAGCAGCCTCAACAACATGGCCACTATGAACTGTCAAAAATCTATCCGCCCTTGATGGAAAACTCTATATGACAGGAAACACTCGTATAGATAAACTTTTGACAGTGTCGCCGGTCAACTCCTTTACTCACAGCTGTCCTTTGCAGGTATCAACCAAAGGATATCAAAATACGCGCGGGGGAATGGGACACCCAGACTGTGAAAGAACGTCTGAAGCACCAAGAAAGACTTGTGCAGGAAATCTACATTCATAGAGGTAAGGGTTTTTGGCGTCCAGCAATGCTAGCGATAATGTATTTGAACTTTAACAGCAGTAGAGCT